ACACCTCGCCACGTACCATGACTCGCTGCTGTCTTCCTGACAAGTATTCCCTGATCCATTGTAGTGCCTTCCCTGTTATCCCTGCTTGGTCCTCCAGTTTTTGCACCAATCTCTTGTGTGGAACTGTGTCAAACGCCTTCTTGCAGTCCAAGAAAATGCAATCCACCCACCCCTCTCTCTCTTGTCTTACTGCTGTCACCATGTCATAGAACTCCAGTAGGTTTGTGACACAGGATTTCCCGTCCCTGAAACCATGCTGGCTGCTGTTGATGAGATCATTCCTTTCTAGGTGTTCCACCACTCTTCTCCTGATAATCTTCTCCATGATTTTGCATACTATACATGTCAGTGACACTGGTCTGTAGTTTAATGCTTCATGTCTGTCTCCTTTTTTAAAGATTGGGACTACATTTGCTGTCTTCCATGCCTCAGGCAATCTCCCTGTTTCGATAGATGTATTGAATATTGTTGTTAGGGGTACACATAGCGCCTCTGCTCCCTCTCTCAATACCCATGGGGAGATGTTATCTGGCCCATTGCCTTTGAGGTATCTAGCTCACTCAGAAGCCTCTTCACTTCTTCCTCGGTTGTGTGCACTGTGTCCAGCACTTGGTGGTGTGCCCCACCTCTCCGTCTTTCTGGAGTCCCTTCTGTCTCCTCTGTGAACACTTCTTTGAATCTCTTGTTGAGTTCTTCACATACTTCACGGTCATTTCCTGTTGTCTCTCCTCCTTCCTTCCTTAGCCTGATTACCTGGTCCTTGACTGTTGTTTTCCTCCTGATGTGGCTGTACAACAGTTTCGTGTCAGATTTGGCTTTCGCTGCTATGTCATTTTCATATTGTCTTTGGGCCTCCCTTCTTATCTGTGCATATTCGTTTCTGGCTCTACGACTGTTCTCCTTATTCTCCTGGGTCCTTTGCCTTCTATATTTCTTCCATTCCCTAGCACACTTGGTTTTTGCCTCCCTGCACCTTTGGGTAAACCATGGGCTCATCCTGGCTTTTTCATTACTCCTGTTACCCTTGGGTACAAACCTCTCCTCAGCCTCCTTGCATTTTGTTGCTACATATTCCATCATCTCATTAACTGGCTTCCCTGCCAGTTCTCTGTCCCACTGAACCCCGTTCAGGTAGTTCCTCATTCCTGTGTAGTCCCCTTTCTTGTAGTTTGGCTTCATTCGTCCTGGCCTTCCTGCTTCTCCCTCCACTTGTAGCTCTACTGTGTATTCGAAGCTTAAAACCACATGGTCACTGGCCCCAAGGGGTCTTTCATATGTGATGTCCTCGATATCTGCACTACTGAAGGTGAATACTAAGTCCAGCCTTGCTGGTTCATCCTCTCCTCTCTCTCTTGTAGTGTCCCTTACGTGTTGGTACATGAAGTTCTCCAGTACCACCTCCATCATCTTAGCCCTCCATGTATCTTGGCCCCCATGTGGGTCCAAGTTCTCCCAATCGATCTCCTTGTGGTTAAAGTCACCCATGATCAGGAGCTTTGCCCTGCATGCATGAGCTCTTCTGGCCACTCTAGCCAGTGTGTCAACCATCGCTCTATTGCTCTCGTCGTACTCTTGCCTTGGCCTCCTGCTGTTCTGTGGTGGGTTATACATCACTGCTATTACCACCTTGGGACCTCCAGAGTGAAGTGTTCCCACTATGTAATCACTTTCTTCTCCGCTATCTCCTCTCTCCAGCTCATCAAAATTCCAGCGATTTTTGATCAGCAACGCCACTCCTCCACCCCCCCCTGTTCCCTCTGTCTTTCCTCAGGATTTGGTATCCCATTGGAAAGATGGCATCTGTTATCATACCTGTAAGCTTGGTTTCTGTGAGAGCTATGATGTCCGGTGATGCTTCTTTGACTCTTCCGTGCCACTCCTCCCACTTATTTGTTATTCCATCAGCTTTTGTGTACCATACCTTCAGTTTCCTTTCCAACACTGTGGTTTGGGGGGCCTGTGAGGGTGGGAGACCTGGTGGCATACTGTGGGATTCTATAGCTCGGTGTTGGGTGGAGGCTGTGGGTATGGATTGTAGTGTGTGTTGGGATGGTGTGATAGGTTGTATGGTTCTGAGAGTAGTTGTGTGTGTGCTTGCCCTTGCTGTTCTGTCCTGCTCTGACTGACCTCTGCTGATTCCCTCCTTGTCTCTTTTCCTAGCTCCTTTCACTTTTTTGTCCTCTCCCTCAGCTGCTGTCGTTCTGATTTTGTTCTGTCTCTGTCTAGGAACACCCTCTTGTACTCTTCCGAGTATTTCAATCGTGGTTTCTCTTGGAGGATCCTGTTCCGCACTGTTTCCGTCCTGAGAATCAGCTTGATTGGTCGTTTTCTCCCCTTCGAGTACCCCCCTATTCTCTGAAAATTTACTATCTCGTCCATCTCTTCACCTATTTCCGTGATGATTTTCTCAATCTCCTTTCTTTCTTCCTGCTTCCTTTCAGTGTGTGTCCTTTCCTCTCTCTCCTGTGTGTGTGTGTGTGTGCGCGCGCACGCGCGTGTGTATGCATGTGTGTGTGTGTCTGTCTGTCTGTCTGTCTGTCTCTCTGTCTCTCTGTCCTCTCTGTCTGTCTGTCTTCTCTCTCTCTCTCTCTCTCTCTCTCTCTGTCTCTCTCTCTCTGTCTCTCTCTCTCTCTCTCTCTCTCTCTCTCTCTCTCTCTCTCTCCTCTCTCTCTCTCTCTCTCTCTCTCTCTCTCTCTCTCTCTCTCCTCTCTCTCTCTCTGTCTCTCTCTCTCTGTCTCTCTCTCTCCTGTCTCTCTCCCCTCTGTCTCTCTCTCTCTGTCTCTCCTCTCTCTCTCTCTCTCTCTCTCTCTCTCTCTCTCTCTCTCTCTCTCTCTCTCTCTCTCTCTCTCTCTCTCTCTCTCTCCTCTGTCTCTCTCTCGTCTCTCTCTCTGTCTCTCTCTCCTCGTCTCTCTCTCTCTCTCTCTCTCTCTCTGTCTCTGTCTCTCTCTCTGTCTCATATATTTGTTTTATCTCATTTACTCACCTCTGACCCTACAGTAAGACTACAAATATTTTAAGGTAAGTAATGAGTGAACACTATATGCATGGTATAGTAGCCTGGGTGGTTACCATACATACCACACTTGATTTCTTACAATAAATACTACTCTTCTCACCCTGGATTTTGACTTCAAATATTTTAAGGTAAGTAATGAGTGCACTATATGTGTATTTTACTTTTTTATTGTTTTTTAATGCCTAGTTCTATTGCTGACTTAATATATGTTAGTGTAAACTTGTTATCTAGTATTTATGGTGGACCCCCGCCTTATGAATGCATCACGTTACGTTAAATCCGCCATACGAAGCATTTGAACGCAAAAATTTTGCCTCGCCTCACCATTAAAAACTCGCCTTATGTGATTCGTCCGGGACGCATCCCACGTGTGGCCTCAGCGCCAGTGTTTACAAGCAAGCCAGTGCGGTCGCATCTACGCATACATTCAGTACATTTCACATTATCCCAGTGTTTTTAGTGCTTGTAACTGCAAAATAAGTCACCATGGACCCCAAGAAAGCTTCTAGTACCATCCCTGTGGTAAAAAGGGTGAGAATTAGTATGGAATTGAAAAAAGAGGTTAAGGAAATGTGTGCAAAGTGGGTTGAACTGCAAACCTTTAAGGATGAAAATCACCCTGACACAGCTACTGCAAGCCGTGTTGGCAACCTGTAAAATGACAATGTTATGGCCCATTTTAGGAAAGTCTTAAAGGAACGGGAGGTACAGAGCTCTATGGACAGATTTGTTGTGCGACAGAGGTCCAGTGACTCTTAATGCCATTAGGACCAGCTTAAAAGAAGAAGGGAAGTAACCCCGGAAAAGGACTTGCTACCTCAAGTCCTAATGGAAGGGGATTCCCCTTCTAAACAATAACTTTCATACTCTCCCCTCCTCCCATCCCATCAACCATCACCAGATCTTCAATAAAGGTAAGTGTCATATATTCTATTCTTAGTAGAGTAGTAATTGTGCATGTCTTCTTCGGTTTGTGTGTATTAAAATTAATATTTCATGTGGTAAAAAAAAAAAATTTTCATACTTTGGGGTGTCAGGAGCAGATTAATTTTATTTCCATTATTTCTTATGGGGAAAATTAATTTGGCTAACGATAATTTCGGCTTACGATGAGCTCTTAGGAATGGATTAATATCGTAAGGTGGGGGTCCACTGTATATGCATTTATAAGTAGAAAAAAAGGTGTTCCACTTTACGGCAATTTTCGTTTTACGGCGGTAGCCTGGAGCCTAACCTGCTATATAAGTGGGGCCCTACTGTATTACCATTCTTATTGTACTCATGATTGTAAAGTGCATAAGAAATTCCTCTTAATCATCTATTACCTCAATTACTGGGAGCGCTTGAGGTTCCTAAACCTGTATTCCCTGGAATGCAGGCGGGAGAGATACATGATTATATACACCTGGAAAATCCTAGAGGGACTAGTACCGAACTTGCACACGAAAATCACTCACTACGAAAGCAAAAGACTTGGCAGACGATGCAACATCCCCCCAATGAAAAGCAGGGGTGTCACTAGCACGTTAAGAGACCATACAATAAGTGTCAGGGGCCCGAGACTGTTCAACTGCCTCCCAGCATACATAAGGGGGATTACCAACAGACCCCTGGCAGTCTTCAAGCTGGCACTGGACAAGCACCTAAAGTCTGTTCCTGACCAGCCGGGCTGTGGCTCGTACGTTGATTTGCATGCAGCCAGCAGCAACAGCCTGGTTGATCAGGCTCTGATCCACCAGGAGGCCTGGTCACAGACTGGGCCGCGGGGGCGTTGACCCCCGGAACTCTCTCCAGGTAAACTCCGGGTAATAAATGTTAAGTAACATTTAATCATTAGAATTGTTTTGCCCGAAATGTATTGCATAATTATTGGCTTTCTTTTCTTACATGTTTTATTACATGTAAACTACATTATCTGTACTGTCTAGACATAAACATTGTTTTGTATTATAGTTTGTATTATAGTGAATTTAGTTTCTTGTAGCAGGACTCAACAAGTACTGAAGTGCCTACCACCAGTGAACAAAGTGCTGAACAAGGCTCCAGTTCAACTGAATGTTGTCAGTGTTCATCAGACTTGGTGCACAAAGAACATCAAGAGGACATAGGCTTTGAAGACAGATTATTTACTTACATTTATATGTGAGTACATTTTTCTTTATACTTTGGCTTATCACATCTTTTCATTTCTTAAACTGTGTATTTCAGATGTGTTAAAGTATTCCCTCCACGCTTTAAAAAATAAATAAATAAATAAGTTTATTTCTTTGTAAAGGTTACAATGTGTAATTATAATTTTGATTTGCTAAGTACAAAGATAGCCACTATCATGCCGAGGCATTTTGGGCAAACTAATCCTAATACATAGTAACTAATTAAAACTAGATAAGATAATAGTACATAGTAATTATTACTTAAAACTAAACATAGAATAGTGGTTAGATGTTTTACAATCTTATTTGGACTTTATAAATCTTATGTATACTTAGTACAAAGTCTAATTTGCAAGGAATGGTGCAGGTGGTAATATTTTATGGAATGGCAGAATTAAAAGCCAGGAGGTCACATGATAAAACTAGCCAGTAGATGTTTGGTTGGTTTGGTTAATATTGTGAGATAAGATGATTTTTTAGAAGAGTTCTAAATTTATAAGTTGTCTGGGGATCCTTGACTTGTTCCGGTAGCAAGTTCCAGATCTTTGGGCCTTTTATGTGCATAGCGTTCTTGCATAGTGAGAGTTTTACTCAAGGGATGTTGGCCTTATGCCTTGTATTGTGACTGTGCATTCTGTTGTAACTGTCGAGGAGTAGTTTTAGGGGAGGGTTTACAGTGAAGTTTAAAGTTCTGTATATGTAGTGTACACAGTAATAAGAGTGTATGTCTTGTATATTAAGCAAGTTGGGTCTTTTGAAAAGTGGCGGGGGTGTGCTGTCTAGCACAGGAGCTTGTTAATACCCGCACAGCAGCTTTTTGTTGGATTATTAAGGGTCTAAGGTGGTTGGCTGTGGTTGAGCCCCAGGCACAGATGCCATAAGTGAAGTAAGGATATATTAGAGAATGGTACAAGGTAAGGAGAGTCGTTTGTGGTACATAGTAGCGTATCTTGGAAAGGATTCCTACTGATTTGGAAATTTTCTTGGCTATGTGATGGGTGTGGGACTGAAGCTTAAGATTACAGTCAAGGAAAAGACCTAGAAATTTGCCCTCTGGGTGTCTTAATATAGGGGAACCATTTAACAGTATGTTGAGTTGAATATTTGAGGCTCTGTTGCCAAACAGCATGAAGTAAGTTTTTTCTATGTTAAGTGCGAGTTTGTTGGTCATCATCCAAGCATGTATCTTTAGCAGTTCATTGTTTACAGTGTTTTCAAGCACAGCTGGGTCTGAGTGGGAGTAGACATATGTAGTGTCATCTGCGAATAGAAATTGTGTAAGGAGTTGGGATGCATTGGGGAGATCATTGATGTAGATGAGAAAGAGGAGTGGGCCTAGGACACTACCTTGGGGTGCTCCTACAGCTACAGGTTGGATAGTGGAGTTGACTCCATTTGCATATACATACTGGTGTCTGTTGTTAAGATAGGAATTTAGGTAGTCTAGAGAATGTCCTCTTATGCCATAATGATTCAGTTTGAGGTGTAAGAGATTGTGGTAAGCTGTGTCAAACGCTTTTCTTAGGTCGATAAAGAGCCCCAGGGGATATTCATTCTTATCGAGAGCTGTGTATATTAGGTCAAGCATTTGTATAATAGCATCATTCGTGCTTTTATTTGGTCTGAAACCAAACTGGCATGGGTTAAGTATGTTGTTGGATGTAAGGTAAGAGTAAAGTTGCTTGTGTATTATTTTTTCAAATATCTTGGATAGTAAGGGCAAGTTTGATATGGGTCTGTAGTTGTTCAAATCAGTTGGATCTCCACCTTTGTAGATCGGGGTGACCCTTGCTGTCTTGAGTATGGATGGGAAGGTTGAGGAAGCTATAGATTTGTTAAACATTGTTGCAATAATGGGCGACAGTTCTGGTGCAGCTTTTTTATATATGAATGGTGGCAAGTTATCTAGATCACCTGATTTGTATTTTAATGATTTAATGATGAGTGAGACTTCAGTGGGATCAGTTGGAGCTAGAAATAGAGTATTTGGGTAGTTGCCAGTGAGGTACTCACTCGGATGGGTATTTGAGCTAGGAATTTGGCTCGCTAGCTTCGATCCTACAGTAGAGAAGAAGACATTAAATTTGTCGGCTGTGTCTATAGGTTGCATGTGAGGTTCATCTGGTTTAGTTAGGTTAATCTCTCTTTTTCTAGTTGGTTTTCTTGAGCCCAAAATTTTGGAGAGGGTTTGCCACTTACTTTTCATGTCACCTTTCATTTCACTAAATCTGTTTTCATAATGCATTTGCTTTGATTTACGTATTAGTTTTGTTAGTACTGATGTGTATCTTTTAGTAAATTCTTTAGTAATTAAGCCTAATCTGAACTGCTTTTCAATTTGGTGTTTTTTTTAATAAATTTGAGGATACTTCTAATTAGCCATGGGCTGTTTAGCCTCTTTTCTGTGATCTGTTTCGTTTTGACTGGACAGTGTTTGTTGTAGAGGTTTAGGGTTTTATGTAAAAAAATTTTGGTATCTTTATCGATATTATTACTGTCATTTAGCTCTCTCTGCCAATCAATGGCACCTAGAGCTAGTTTTAGGTTGTTTATCGATGTCTCATCATGCAGGCGAAATGAGATCTTTCTTGTTTCTTGAGGCAGTTTAGATAAGTTGGTTATGAGAAAGGTAGGATAGTGGTCTGTGGTGTTATCTGTGATTATACCTGCTTGTAGTAGGGATATTATATTGGTTCAGATATGGTCGAGTAACGAGGCACTAGTGTCAGAGATTCTTGTTGGCTTTGTTGTAGTGGGTAGCAATAAGCTGTTGTTCATAGCATTCGTGAAATCAACTACTGGAGGGTCGGTTGCTTGGATAAGGGGTTGGATAGGGGCATACACTCCTCAAGGCATATACAATAGTGTACCACTAAGTTCTGTCAGTATGGTTGTTCAAGAGCATCATTTACAGGTAAGTTAAAAAAACACCAAAGTATACAGAGCAAACATTTAGCTGGACAGTATTATTATTATTATTAAGGTTCCAAAGGGATATACTAAATCTATATAGCACCTGGGGAAATGGAATATAATCAGGTTTGAGCAGAGGAACAGGAGAATAGGCCTTATTTCTTGGATTAAGAGTCCCTCACTGGTATCAGGGCACTTTGAGAGAGAGTATTTGGACAGATACAAGTTTGTTTTGTATTCATGTGCATGCCTACATGTTCTCTGTATAATGAAGTTTCTTTCAAATTTGAGTTTTGGGTCTGCGTGGTCATTGTGCACAGTATAGAGAAAATCCTGCAGCACGCATTGCATAATGAGAAAAAAAAATCTCCGACAATGTTTTTGGTGTAAAACAGCAACTTTGCAGTGTATTTTCATGTGGTATTTATGGTTATATTCTCGTTTTCTTGGTCTCTTATGATAGAATGGAAGATATATTACAGAAATAGAGATGATTTGATTGGTTTCACGATGAAAAGTACCCTGAAATTCAGCTCAAAGTAGCGGAAATGTTCAGTATTTGCCGATGTTCAAGAGTAAACAAATCACACTATGCATCCAGTACACATCAACTGGCGAGTCTGATATTCTTTCACAAGTGCACTGATATTATTTATTCCATTTTTACAATAATGCAGTAGTCTGCATAACAGTAAATCTTCTATTTTTTGTGAGAAAAATTCAAAATGGAAAGTAGGAGTAATATAAGAGGAGCCTGGAGATATGACTAATGAACAGAGAAAATGTTATTTTAGTGTTTATTCTGGACCCTATTTTAAAATTGGCATCTTTTGAAATTTGTGTAAAATTGGCCAAATGGCCAATGTTTTACCTCCTCATTGGGTAGTTGAAATCGATAAATGGGCAGTTTCTTGTACTCAATCGATAGAGCAAATAGAGTTTTAGCTAAATAGCTATGATTTTAGTCAATTGGAACATTGGAATTGGCCGAAAATAGGGCTCAAAGTGGGCGAAATCGCTGATGCATAAATATTGTCGAGATCGCTAACTTCGCAAGAGCATAATTTTGTAAATTTTCCATTAAGTTTCATACTTTGTGTCGTTGCCATCGGGAAAAGATTCTCTTATCATTTCATAAGAAGAAATTTTTTTTTAATTTTTCGACCCCGAGAGCGAGTTCAGGATCATGGGTCTCGACCCTGAGAGCGAGTTCAGGATCATGGGTCTCATCCATGAAAGGGTTAAGTGATTCAAGTGTAACTACACAAAAAAAGTTGTGAATAAAACTAGTTGCATCAATGGGCTTTGACTCCAACCTGGCAGTACCAAATTTCTGGAATAAATTTAACATTGCAGAAGCCATCTGCTATGCTAGAAGTGCATGTAATGAAGTGCCCCATTCAACATTAAATGCAGGCTGGGGAAAGTTATGGCCTTCCGTAGTTAATTCTTTCACTGTTTTTCCCTTGCTTGAGAGTCTGGTTCAGGAAATTGTTCAGCTGGCAAGGAGATTACCAGGTGATGGTTTTTAAGATATGAATGAAAATGATGTAAGTGAGCTCTTAGAAGATGATGAAGACAGGAGTCCAGAGGAAATGTTGACAGGTTGATGCACAGATACAAGGGAGCTACATAACAGAAGATGAAGAACCTGAAGAAAAATGGTTAACATTGCAGCAATTAGGTGAGCAGTTCCATATTATTGGAAAAGTTACGGACTTTTTCACTGAAGAGGACCCTGACAAATCTAGAAGTAGTGCTTTGAAACTGGATCTAGACCAGCTGATGATGCCTTACCATCAGCTTTATAATGTACTGCAGGGTAAAAGAGCCCATTACAGAACTTAGGCACACTCCAATACAACCATACACCTCAGCCCATTAGGGCCAAACCATGCATCTCCTCTCTCTCCACAATCATCTACAAACACCAGCATCCATAATTTAAGGCAAGAAATACTATTATTTCTGTTGCATTTGTAGTCTTAAGCAGTAAAAACATAATATATCATGACAATGAACTACAATTACATATTCACTTTTATTTTTGCAATTTCTGTTGGTCTAAAAAAAAAA